AAGGCACTGTGAATCACCGAGTAGCCCACTGGACACCAGGTGATGTTAAGGGGATTTAGACTCAATTACCTTTGCATTCTGGATCTGTTAAATCAGGTGTGGTGACACGCCTTTAATACCAGCACTTGGGAGGCAGAGGCAGGCAGATCTCTGTGAGTTCAAGGCCAGTCTGTTCTACACAGTGAGTTCCAGCCTAGCTGAGGCTACTTGGAGACCCTAAAAAAAAAAAAAAAAAAAAAAAAAAAGAAAAAAAATATAATTTAAATAAAATAGAACCATGTGACCTATTATAGGTATTCAATTAATTCCCTTCTGTCTTTCTATAGCTACACATAACACATATTAGAAATTAATAATAGGACTGTGAATACTTAACAACTATTATAGTTCAATTTACATTAATTTGGGGATGTACCTTGGGTCCATTTAAGAATAACTCTAGATAGAGAAACATGTATCCTCAAGAGTATTTACTAAATAAAACTTGTTTCATGACTATTTGATATATAAAAGAATAGGTGGATGGATACAAACAGAATATTTAGTGAACAAATTCAGTTGTATAATTCCTCTCTCCTTTATGAGTTTCAAATATTAGCAGCAGCCCAACACTGTGCTTCTTGTTTGAAGGCAGGCAAGCTCAAGGGCTGACTTTACCCAGCTGCTGTAGTTCAGCTAACAAATATGAATATCTTAATAACTTTCAAGGTGACATGCAGGATTAAATTGAAAAGCAAATAGATTTCATATTCTTCTTCAGTCTACTTAGTAAACTTGATTTAAACAGCATCAATGAAGTAATAAAGGAAATTCAATGATTTTATACATTGAAGCTTAAGTTTTAATGGGCAGGTACAAGACTATTATCAAATAAGATCAAAAGAAATAAACCCAAAGAACTTCTTTTGCAAGAGCACTTTCTGGAAGAGAATTACTTTCCCACAAATTGTGAAAAATTACTAAGGAAAGTGCTACTGGAGAACAGCATTTACAGGAAAACTTGTGATATGGCTGGTTGTGCGAGTGGTTATTTCCTTATTTATTAAAAAAAAGGTTGAGGATTTGAAGGCAAACAGTAAACTCTTTGTTATCAGTGGACAGCCTCTGGGATTAGGGAAGATAATCACATTGGCTTGGTAATATTTGCATGATGAAATCCTACATCAAGATCCAAAACTCTGTATGTGTGTGCGTGTGTGTGTTCGCGCACGTGCGTGTCTGTGGTGTGTGTGTGTGTTTGTGTGTGTGTGTGTTGGTGTCCCCTCCTCCTATGCTAATGAACTGTGCCAACCAACAGAGGAGAGCTGATGCAAAAGAAAAACAAAAATAAATTAAAACTACAAAAATCCCTATGAAAATCCTATTTAAACAACAACAAAAACCCAGCAACACATGGCCTGGCTAAGAAGAGTGCATAGTGAGCACAGCAGAGTAACTCTCACCACCCCAGTCCATGCTACAAAGAAGCTTCTCTGATTTAAGGTTGGTGGTGCTTTTGTTTATGGGTCTAAATATAGATTGTTTTTGTTTTTCCAAGGTAGTTTGACCCCATGACCACTTAGCTGAACAACAGTACTAGGTTCCCTCTAGGACATATCACCTTCCCTACCACATGTTTTTGATCAGGTTTATAGTACCAGATATACATTCCTTCCTGGGAAGTGGGTCTTACAGTTAATCAGAGAGCAATTAACTACCTCCATATCAGTTGTGCCACAGTGGTAATGCAGAGATTCTTGGCTGTACAAGGTATCAAGAGTAAAGGATGGTTGAGTGCTCAGCCTTAAGCAAGATATTTATACCATCCCTTAGAAGACCAGGGAATATAGCAGAAGAAGGTATAGAAAGCATGCAGAAGCCAGAAGGACTGCAGAATGCTGTCTTCTGGGCATGGCACAGCCATTGCAATCAAGAACTCATAGCAGCTATAGTTGTCTGCAATGGAACTGTCAACAGTGAGTCATGGATGGGGCAGAGGCTCATAAGGCCCTCCCCCTCCCTGTTGAAGTATTGGCTACTGATAGATTCTGGGAGAAGTTATTATCTTTTTTTGTATTTTATTTATTTTTGTTTTATGTTTATGAGTGTATTGCCTGCATGTGTGTAAGTTCACATGTGTTGTAAAGTGCTTACAAAGTTCAGAAGAAGGTGTTAGATTCCTCTGGAACTGGAATTATAGACAGTTGTTAGCCACCATGTGGATGCTGGGAATCAAACCCAGGTCCTATGTAAGAGCAGCCAGTGCTCTTAACCACTGAACCATTTCTCCAGCTCCTGAGTTATCTTTAAAATTTTTTTTTATTTTATGTGTATGAGTGTTTCGCCTGTACGTATATAAGTGTACCATATGCATGCAGACTGGCAGAGGCCAGAAGACAGTGTCAGATAACTGGAGGTTATCTAAGATGGTCTTCTTAACTGGAGTTAGGAAGAGTTGTTAGCTGCCATTGGATGCTGGGAACTGAAACCAGTAGTGCTCTTAACCACCAAATCATCTCTTCAGCCCTAGTCATTATCCTGAGATGTATACCCACTGGTGAGCTCACCATGCCCTAGTGGATAGTTCTATTCCTATGGTCACTTAGAAAGTCCTGATTAAAGTCAGTAAGTCACAGGAATATGAGAAAGGAACCTGTAGGGAGAGGCTGGGATGATGGGGGTTGGAAGGAGAGAGCAGTCAGAATGCATTATATGCATGTATGAAGGAGTACATTTAATCAATTAAAAAGTAGTTTGTAAGCATGAGACATTAAATGACTAGAGCTCGAAGAGCGTGAGAGACAAATCAGAGGAGGCAGAAGACAAAGAGCTAAAGTTATTGAAGACATTGCAGGGAAGTGGTTGAGGACACAGAGGTGGGAAAGCCAGTGGAAGTGCCTATGTTCAGTGGCAGATCCCAGGAAAGGATGAGACAGCTCCTGCAGGCAGTGGACATGAGCCTGGAAGAGAGTGTTGCATCAGACTGTGGAGGGCACAAGTGCCAAATTAAGACCTTCCAGTTTCTGCAGGCAATGGAGCTTCTGAGGACAAGATCCCCAGGCTGAAACACATTTCAGTGTTGATATGAAAGACAGATAGCAAAGGAGAACCTGAAGGTGGGGGCATCTGGAAAACACATTTTTCAGGAAGAATCAGCAGTATTATTTACATAAGAGTGGTAGGAAATAAAGAAAGAGATACAGAAAATGATTTCAGGGACCAGCAATATGACTCAGTAGGTAAAGGTGCTTGCCACCAAGTTGACAATCTGAGCTAGGTCACTGGTGGAAGGAGAGAATCAATTCCTTCAAGTTATCTTCTGGCCTCCATTCTTGTGCCATGGCACATACATGAACACTTTTTGAATTTGTGTGTATGTGTGTGTGTATGTACACATACACACAGCTAAAAAATAAAAAAATGATTTCATATAGGAGTCATGTCAAAGGACCAGCATTCTGCAGACTTTTAATCTCTATGCTTTTGCCATTTGTGACCTTTTATGTTCCAGGCCCTCTGTTGCATGAGGGAGTTCATTAATGATAATTGAGAATTTCATTAGTGTCCTCTTCTTTACCCCTGTTCTATGTTCTGTGAGCCTTAGGCGCAGACGTTGCATTGTAGATGTGTCACTTAGGCCTGGGAAATTCATAGACAATGTCTGTATATGGCCAGTTGTGGTACTTGGTAATAGTAGTCTCCGACTGATGCAAAATATATTTGTTTGATGAGTGGTGACTGGGATATTTGTCTGTAAATATAAGGTTACATAATTTGCACATAGTAAGAAATTACGTTAGTCTAGGGATGTGATGATCTTGGGATTTTCTGTAAGATCTATGACTACCCAGCCATGTGTATTTGGTTATGTTTATAGTACTACACTTGAGTTTCCTCCCACTGACTGGGCTTTTAGTCCCACCCAGGGTTCAGAGACCATCACTGAAGAGAAGAAGGAAAGATTGTAAGAGCCAGGGAGGAGATGCATGACCATATGGAAACAGTCCTACAAACTCCTGGGACCCTGCTCATATGATTTGATGATATTGGTGTCAGCATACACAAGCCCCTTGCATACTCAGGCAGACAAAAACACAGCATAGAACTGGGAAAATGAACAGCAGACCCTAATCTTAGCTGAAGAAATATTGACAACTGATTACTGCTAGGTGAGGAAGAGCTGATCTTCCTAAAACAAGGCACTCTAGATTAGCTGACTAGACCTCAGCAGATGGTGCCATTAGGGACAGGGGTATAAAGACGATTAAGATTGTTTGAGATGTTCTGTATGAAATACATAAAATTCAATAAAAATAAAATTTAAAAAATGATTTCAGACTTTGAACTTGGGTTCTTAGTAGCAGAGTGCAGAAACTCCCAGATTCCACGAAGTTCAAAATAGAGTAGTGATAGAAATCAAGATCCCTCAGTGGGCTAGACAGCATGTGGTAAAAGTTCCTGATGAGCAACAGGGCTTAAAAATAGCCTGAAGATCTCAAAAAGGGTGATCTGGCCCTGTGCCATCCACTACAGAAGTCGCTGGCCTCATATAGCTATTGACTTGAAATGAACATAGTTAAAATTAAACATTCTGTAAGTGAAAACTAAGTACCAGATTTTAAATAATTAGCACAAAAAAGATTATGAAATATCTCATTAATAGCATTTAAATACTGATTACATGTTAAAATGATAATATTTTATATATGTTGAGCTAAATAAAATATGCTTTTATAATTGAGTTACCTTCATTTTTTTCAAATAGAGCTGCTAGAAAATGCACTCACATTATGTTTCTATTGATATAACTGATCTATACATTCTTAGTGAAAGTCACAGTGAACACAAACACACATGTGCTTCATAGGGAAAAGCATTCTTAGTCCATCAACCTAGTCTGAAATCTTTTAAGATATGTCATGTAGTCGGTGAGCTTGTTTCTACACGTTATTGTCATTTGTTTCTTTTGTCCCAAACTAAGATTATTCCATCTTACTGAATATCTGTCTCTCTACCAACAGATGATGCGGCCTCTGACGGCCGCAGAACTTACTCTCTAGCTGATTATTTAAAGAATACTTTTCGAGTGAGGTCCTACCCCCTGTTGTGGATTTCAGGTAAGACTTGTATTTCAGAGATGGAAATGTTTATGCTTCTATTCATTCTAATTAGGTTGGGTTACAGAGTGCTCTTCAGCCGTGAGAAGATACAATCCTTGCTTTTTAAAACATTCTGAAGAATATTTTTTCTTATATGATAGAAATTGAAATATTTCTTTGCTATGTACTGTAAAGAGTTAAGTGTGAATTGAAACCTTGACATGGGTGATGGAAGAATGAATTGGTGCTAGGACAATGTTCATCACATTTGTTTTCCAACATAGAAAATTTTATTTATCCCTGTGTGAGCTCAAATTTTTATTGCATAAATTTTGGCTTACAGAAGTGTTTAAAAGTAGCTTGAAAATACTGACCTGGCCATTTTCTCTCTTTAGATCATGAATATCTCTACAAACAAGAAAACAATATCTTGCTATTCAATGCTGAACATGGAAACAGCTCCATTTTCTTGGAGAACAGTACCTTTGTATGTTTAGTCACATGCTTAGTTCATGTATGGAATTCTGGGGACTGTTTTCATTACCTTTCAAATCATGAGGACTGTCATTTCTCATCCTGTTGGACTCTGCAGCATATGGCCCAGTGGATCTTTCTCTCCTTCTTGAAATGTTCCCTGCCTTGGCTGCTTTTTAGTCTCCTTTGATGATTCCTCTTCTACCTGTATTTTTAAATGTAAGTGCTCCTGGGGCTATCTTCACTCACTAGCCTCGTTCCTTCCTCTGCACACTCCCCTTGGATGAATTGCATGCATTTCCACAGCAGTGGAGCTTGGATTCTCACATACACATTTAATATTAATACTAACCTCTTCCCAAGATCCCAACTTCACTTTACAAGGGATTGCTAGCCCCTGCAAGATGGCCCGTGGCATTTTAAATTCAGCATCCCGAGCTAATCTAGTTTTCTTCCCTTCACTGTCTTAGCAAGCTCAAGGCATCATATTCTTCTTGATAGGTTCCCAATTTGATAACTAATCACTGAATTCTAGTCACTTAAGCTGGAAATTCCAGAATCATCTCTGACTCTCCTGCCATGCTGTATAATTACCTATACAATTAACTCTATTGATCCTCTTTCTGTACATTAAATATCTCACATATTTCCATTCCCACTGTGTCTGTGTCTCTATTCTGGAGACCAGACTAATATAAAACACCCTAGTTTTCTTTCTCATCTGAGTTACATGTCACCAGAGTATCTATGTTCAAAAAAAAGGAGATGGACACTATCACTTTCACATACAAAAAAAAAGAGTCATAGTTCATGTCTTATGTTTCACTCTCACCAGTTTTTCTGATTTAATATCCCCCACTTTCCATTGTGCTGGAACAGTCTATGCTGTATTTAAATTGTGCTCAGTCCTCAACCATTCTCTACACATGCATGCTCTTTTTCACACTATCTACCCATGCTGCTCCTTTTGTTGATAAGGTTCTCTCTGGGCTCCCGAACCCAATATCTCTTCAGCTTATCCCTCTTTCTATGGCTTCCTAACATTTATCATTGTCCTACTTACATCACTATCATTTGTGGGTGACTGTATCTCCTAGACTGGGCACTCCCAAGACACAACCCATGTGTCTAGAAGAGTCCCTTCTACCTAGTCAGTGACCAGTGATGACATTCAAATTGTCAATTTTCTTTCTTCTACTTGATCAACAGGAAAGCTTTGGAGATTCTATAAGTGATTATTCAGTATCGCCGGATGGACTATTTATTCTCTTAGAATACAACTATGTGAAGGTAAAACAAATACTTTCTAACTACAACATTTAAAAAATTTAATCAGTACGTTGTTTTCTAAATGACTTAAAGTATAGGTGTATTTAAGAATGATACCCGAGTAACATGAATGGCAATAAAAGCTCATTCACACTGTATCAAATATTTGTGTCCACTTATAAAAGACTTATCTACCAAGTATGTTAAAAGGAAAGTATTTTAATGATTTTAGATACTAAAATGATTAATATTATAGTATAGATACTGACATAACTAAATACATTTTATCATAGACATTTATGATACAATCTTAAAGTAACTTTATATGTCTAACTCTATGTTGTCCTTTATTTCATTGGACTCAATTCACATACACTAAGACTTTCAGTAAGTATTTTCTTTAAAAGTGTTAAAACCACCATCTTCTAGAAGAGACTCTGTTCAATGCCCCAGACCACCTCCCACCCATGTTCAAACCAGCCTTAAATTGTAATCTAGTCACAGAGGTTTTGCTTAGAACACTCAACTTCTCCCAGTCACCCACCCAACAGAGAATTTTCAGGCATTCAGAGAAGTTAGCACCAAATCACACACGTCCTCTTCATGACGCAAGCTGCTGGTCACGTTAAATGCCACCTTTTGGTTTTTCATGGTATTAATAACAGTTGAAGCATAGGGAGTTTTAAAATTGGTTAAAAAAAAAAAAGACTGGAAACCTGTAGAGATACTCTATATTGAAAACAAAGCATAAAGGCGGAGATTCTTACCCTTAACTTCTTTCCTGGAATAAATAATATTGAGTGGCCTTATCTCACATACCAACTGTCTGGATTCTGGCCAAGCAAAGCACTGCCTCTTCCACTTGCCATCTTTGGATGATGCCGCTCAGTCACAGTGTTTACTCTGGATCTACTGTGTGGGCTCCATTTCCTGGATATGAAAACTCTATGTTCTGCTAAACCCATCAGCTCTAAGCAAATCAGATACCTATGCTCACTTTGATACATCTATATTTATTAACATGTTCATGTGCATAACTTGGTACTTCTTATTACTACTTGCAGAATAAATTTACTTGACTGAAAGAGAAACTCCTAGTGCCTATAATCAGTCTTCCTATGAATCAATTCATGTTTCTGGGGCAAAGTTGCCATCAGAGTTTTTTAATGACAGTCTCATGAGCACACAGAATTGAGAACTGGTGAATAATAATCGAGACTGTTAACTTTAAAAATTTTTTATTTACTATTTTTATTTTATGTGTATGTGTGTATTGCCTGCATGTAGGTAAGTACACACGTGTTGTGCAATGCCCGCATTGGTCAGAAGGCTGTCAGATCTCCTGGGACTGGAATTACAGACAGTTGTTAGCTGCCGTGTGGGTGCTAGGATTAGAACCCCGGTCTTCTGCAAGAACAACCAGTGTTCTTAACCACTGAGCTATCTCTCTAGCCCCAATAATCACAAATGTTAAAAGCTAACACATGAAGGTATAGTAGAAGCAGAAAGGGGACCAGCACAGTTTACTGCTTCATTTGGTTTGACAAGTAGTGTGATGCTTACTATTGGATGTAGCTCCCTGGCAGGTAGGAAACTCCATTGTTAGTGGTTTGTACTTGTGTCACTGATTTTGCTATGCTCTCTGGGCCCCTAGCATCCCGTCTCCAGGCAGTAACCAAAGTGTCCTTTTAAACCCTAACTTATTAAGCTTTACCTATGTTAATCCCTCCAGTGGTTTCCCATCACACAAAATAAAATATGACCATCATCTGTGGGGCCTTTGTGCCTGGACCCCAACCTGGCATTGGAACCACCTGCCACTACCCTGCCCCACACTCACCATGCTTGACCAATGCTCCTCTTCCCTGCTTTAATTCAGAGCCACTTGGCAAAGATGTCTGTGGCCAGGCCACATAGTGTCTAATTCAGGAAAGCTGTGGACAGGGCCCAGAAAACAGTAGGTTTAAGGGCTTACCTGTGAACAACAGTTCCTAGCAGAGGCCTTCAAGTGCATAACACTTCTTTTTTTCATGCATCACTCCCATACCAGTTGTTGGGCCCAAACCCTTGCTAACGCTTCCTCTACAACTTTCTTCCCTAGCGTCATCTGGCTTTCCATCTCTATTAATTCAGTTAGTTCCAGGCTGTCTTGGATCACTTTATTTGACATTGTAGCCCATCATTCTGGCTCAGCCACACCTCACATAACCACTCTCTACCACATTAACCTATTTCAGTTTCTTGATAGCATCTGTATTTTGTATTTCTTTGCTTATTTATTGCCTGACATATTTCTTGACAGTTACCTTGGGTTTTAGTCTCCATTGTATTTCCAGCCCCTAAGACTAGACCATGCGGTAGAAGCTCAGCATATATTTATTGGATGAATGTGTGGTTTGTTACAAAACACTGAACTTTAAGGTAACTGTAACCAGGGGAATGTATCTTCCCTTTCTTTTTTACTTATAAGACTATCCAATAGAATTTTCTGGACAGCATCAATTCTTAATGAAACAACTCACAATAAACATATACAGAAGAAAGCAAAGGCTAATTTGACTGCATTTCTTTTTTAAAAATTATTTTATTTATTATTTTTATTTTACATTTATGACTGTATTGCCTACATGTATGTGAGTGCACCCGTGTCGTGCAATGCCATGGGTCAAAAGAAGTTTGCGCTTTTAATTATTATCATTCTCCCCTGAAATTACAGGCAAAGCACTCAGTGATATTTGAAACATCAATTACTGGCCTGAAGCCCTCTGCTACTGTTTCTTTGCCTGCTGCCAGGGCTGCAAATCCATTTTCTGCATTTCTTTCAGATTTTCTGAACAAAATTATGGAAAATCGCTGTTGGCACATGGCATTTTTCCACAATGGTCAGAGTTATTGAATTGTGCCGTTATGTGCTACTTGGAGAAGGCATTCTGACTTCAAATGCCAGGCTTAAAACTATCAGGGCCTTTTTCTCCAATCTGGGCTTCAGAAATTTTCCACAGGAAAAAGCTAAGAAATCTGCCCTGGCTTTGCCCGGAGCGCCTACTGAGTGCAACTCCAAGCTTGCGATGGCTCAGATTTCTGAATTTTATTTAGCTCATGCCTTCTTCGGGTTCTCTGTTTTCTAGACATACTTTCTCACCATGTGACCACAGATCTAGAGACTGCCTTTGATCCCGGCAGCCCTCTGCCATCTATATGCTCCAAACCTTCAAGAAAGATGATCATTTGGCAGCTGTTCTGAATTCCTCTTCCCTTCCACTGGAAGGCATCTCGTGCTCTGTTTCAGACGCCATTCCTTCTGTATTCCCCATTAAGGCTGTTCACATACAAATAGAGATCCCAAGAATGAGAATGCTCTTTGAGACTGTATGGTCAGGCTGCACCTGTGCATTCTGCTCAAATGTCTCCCCCACATCAACCTCTTCTTTTTTAAAAAACATTTTATTTATTATTTTTATTTTACATTTATGACTGTATTGCCTACATGTATGTGAGTGCACCCGTGTCGTGCAATGCCATGGAGGTCAAAAGAGGGCTTTGGATTCCCCTGGAACTGGAGTTAAGGACGGTTCATAGCCACCATGTGGGTGCTGGGAATCAAACCCAGGTCCTCTGCAAGAGCAGTCAGAGCTCTTAACCGCTGAGCCATCTCTCTAGCCCCTTGACTGCATTTCTTTAGAGGTGCACTGCCCAGTGTTCTTTAGATCCTGCTTCATGACACCTTCACAACTGCTTTAGTGCATCCAGCATAATCAATTATTATTTCTAAGTTGCAACTACAGATAAATGGGTGACTAGATGCATGACTGAGTGATAGGTGTCATTCTGTCTGTGTGGATACTCTCCTTTCTTCTCACTGCACGCTCTGGAGATGGTAGCTGTGTTATCTACCACATCCTGATGGTGCTTCACAGTGTTGTAAGCACTTCACATGCATTCTCATGCCCCTGACATTGTTGCTGTCATTGTCTCCATTTTCCTAAAAAATAAAACTGAAGTTAAGAAAGAAACTGGTCTGATATTACAGAGCCTCTAAGTTAGGAGGCTCCAGAGTTTATGTTCTCAAACATTGTCTTTCTTGTCTTTGTAGGTCAACTTCTCTTTTATAGTACTTTTTTGTCTCATTATCCATGCAAGTGATTAACTTAAAATTCATCCCAATAATCCCCTGTTCCATAGGACTCTCTCTCCTCAAGACTACTTTAGGATTGAAGACTTCCCTTGCCGTCCTTCATTACAGCTCTTGACATATCCTGCTGTGACGTCTTTATTGTAGTTCACTTGCTCATATGCCCCATCCAGTTAGGAGCCCCTCAAGAAGAGTAATGTCTGGTAAAGAATAACACTACAAACAGTGTATGTAGACAGAAGAGGCTACAAAATCTGTTTCCTTTTAAACTTCATGATGGTTTTGTTGTCCTGAAATGATCGGAGTCCCTTTTGGTATTTCTAGCCTTTACCACATTTTTTTGGCTTTTGAAAGTATTATGCTTGAGTTTGCCAAGAAACAATCATGGGGTGTGTCAGAATAATCCAGGATTCAGGAAAGGAATGTATGATTACAAGAAATGAGAATTTAATAAGTACGTGTTGACATGAGGGTGTAGTGGGGTGGTAAATGATAAGTAGCTACGGTTCAGAGTCCTGGCTATATCTCAGCTCCGCTATCATGTAGCTTGTGTCCTGGAACTATCAATTTCCTCTGTCTTCTCCATACTGGCACGACTTGAATTTTATTGCAGTTTGATTTCTGGAACACCTACTATGTGGTTTGAACTAGATTTTAGATATCTAATGGTGAGACACAATTTCTTGCTCATACAAGTATAGGACATATAGACAAAAATTTCTAAGATATCTTTAGTTTTATAAGCATCCGTATAACGATAAATGCAAAGATGTGATCATACATATTATATATCCTCCCATATATATTTTTTTCTTAATTCATATAATGCCATGACAATATACAGGAATCTTTTTCAGTTATTTTGTGCTCTATAAAAATGGAATCTGATACCACGGAACTCCTTTCAATTCATAACTTTAATTCATTTTTAGAGAATAAACCTTGTATTTTAGAGTAGCTTTAGGTTTATGGAAAATAACCAGAAAATTCCTATATACTCCCTCACATGCCTTTCTGTCTTCCTTATTATGAATATCTTGCACTAAGGATGATACATTTGTGACAGCTCATGAGCCCATACTGTTAACCCAAGTCCAAGTTTACATTGGGATGCCCTGTGAATTGTGACAATGTATGGCATATATCCACCATTATGGAGTCAGGAGAAAAGTAGTCTCACTGTGTGAAGTCCCTTACCCCAAGCAATCACTGTCTCCATAGTTTTACTTTTTCCAGGAAGTTGTGTGGTTAATGCAGTAACCTTTCAGATTGTCTTATTTCACTAAGCAGTATGTACTTACAGTTCATCGTTTGTTTTTTTTAGGTTAGCTAGTTCTTTTTATCACTGAATGATACTATGTTACATAGATCTACCACAGGTCTATCCATTCACTTATTATTGAAAGATGTCTTTGCTGCTTTCAAGTTTGGGCAATTTGTAATAAAGCTTCTATAAATATTTGTCTGTAGGTTTTAAATGCCAAGGAGATTTTGTTGACCAAGGCATTTGGGTTTAATGTATAGGCTTTAACTCATGGATTCAATGTTTATTAAATGTAAGACTATTGCTATTGCAAGGAAATTTTCCTTGTTTTTACCTTTTGTAATGTTGACAGAAATGTTCAGAATGGTCTCAGAAGGTCTCTTGTGATGTCCCACTTTTCATTTCTGATAATGGAGATTTTTATTTCTCTGTCACATTGGATATGTTGGTTTTTCGCCATTGCGTACTTTCTATTTAATTATTGCTCTCTATCATTTCCTTTCCTCTAGTTGCTTTGGATTTGGATTTATTTTCATTTTTCATTATGGTTGCTTAAAAATTAATGACATTTTTATATATTAACAT